TACAACCACTTTAAGGCATAGGATTCTTCTCATGTGGACAAACCTAGTTGCCCAACTGTGAAAGCTGCCATATGGAAGTTTAAAAAGGCATCCACCAAGAAACTCAAAAGGTCTCAGAAAATTTTCCAGAAACCTCCAGATAGCAAAATCTTCTCAATCTGATGCTCTGGACTAGAGAATACTCTTTGCCCAAACTAAGTGCTTGGCAGACCTCACTGCTGACTGCAGAGCTGCTCCTACCAGCAAGAAAGAAATTTCAAGAAGGGCCTCTAAAAACCAGGAACTCCATCCTGGAGTATAAGTATGGACTGTTGACCTTACTTTCTTGTAGAATTCCTTCTCCCTGGGAGTACTGCTGAGCAAATTGCTTTGAAGGAGAAGAGGAGGGGGGAAAAAAACCCCACCTTCTCTAGACGAGACCAGTTGGCAGTCTTGTGTCTGAGACGGCCCCAGATCTTGAGATTACTCCAGGGAGGGGTCATCTACAGAGGATTCCCAATGCTCAATAGCTTCCCCCCCCTCATCTTGTAGGATATTCCGAACAGGTCTCATCCTCCCACAAAAGAGCAGCCCATTCCCCTCTCGCCACCTTCCCTTTGCAAGGTCACATCTTGCTGGGGCTCTGTAGGCCCTTTAAAGCTTCAAGGATTCTACTCCCCCTCTGGAGGATCACTGCCTTGAACCTGAAAAGCACTTGGTCAGCATGTTCTGATACACTGTATGATCAATGCCTTAAGGATCCAGCATCAGCTGCAACTGCTGAAGTCCTCTTCTGCTCCAGAAGGGGTGTTAGAAATATGCCAAGAATTGGGGGAACTAAAGCTCACAAACAAAATCTTTTACAGAGAAATCTATAGGCACAGCTATTACCTAAGACTAAAAACTGAAAGGTTATGCCTGGGTGGGGACTTCTGCCTTTCTTAGTTAATGTCCATTAACCTGAAGGGGACAGCTTAAATCAAGTAGTCATGACAGAGGACAAAGTCCTGTAATGTCCGATTAAGCAGTAAGGAGTTCTATTGTCACAACATACACTCATTTTAGAATGTCAGCATAGTAATAGCAATACAGCAAAACAGTAATAGGTGACAATCCAACATACACTCACTAAAAATATCTTTCATGTAAATGCTGCCTGGCTGCTGGACATCTTTCCACAACTTCCTGCATTGTAACTGTAAATACGGTATCTGCTAACGTTAAGCTTACCCAAAATACCCTATCACATAATAGAAAAAAAAACTTTCACCCTTGAAAGTGCTTATGACCATATACAATCTCTAATATGTAAAATTGATCTATCCACCAAATATCTCAAAACTATGTTCAATACCCCAAATTAATCAAAACAAATTACCCGTATTTTCCGGCGTATAAGGCGACTGGGTGTATAAGACAAATGACCCCCTAATTTTCCAGTTAAAACATAGGTTTTGGGCTATACTCGCCGTATAAAAGACTACCCCCCTTCCGAGGCAACACCATTTAAAAACAGATTTTTTAATTGAAATGGTTATTACTTACCGGTACTAAAAATCCTTCAAAATCCTCATGTTCATCTGACATCATAAGTTCATCAATGACATCTTGTGATACATTTGTAAGACAGTCATCATATGGATCAAAGTCCAAATCAGATGGTTACCGCTGGATGTGCGGTAATACGGTAGCTTCGGCTACATACAGCCCGCTGGATGTGCAGTAATGTACATACAGTATACCGCGCTGAGCCAAGCTGGCTCAAAACAAAAATGTCCCTATGACAGATTAATGTCAGCCCACTGGATGTGTGGTATATACAGTATACTGAGTATATACCACTGTGGTATATACAGTATACTGAGCCAAGCTGTTTCAAAACTTACTGGTACGTCCCTACTGTAATCAGACCGCTGGATGCGTGTATGTACGGTAGCTGCGGCTACATACAGTATACACTGGGCCAATCATGGCAAGCGATGTATTCTACTAATGAATACAAAGCCTGCTCAGATTGGCTGAGGTTGTGACATCAGCCCACCTCTCTGACTCAGCCAATCCAAGCAGGCTTTGTATTCATTAGTAGAATACATCACTCGCCGTGATTGGCCCAGTGTATACTGTATGTAGCCGCAGCTGCCATACATACATGCATCCAGCGGGCTGATTACAGTAGGGACGTATCAATACGTTTTGAAACCGCTTGGCTCAGCACAGTATACTGTATATACCGCACATTCAGCCAGCTTGACCCAAATAAACTCAAGGTTCACATTTTATACCCCGCGTATAAGACGACCCCCAATTTTTGGGGTATATTTTTAAGTATAAAAAAGTAGTCTTATACGCCAGAAAATACTGTATATACAATAATTGAAAATAGTAATCGCTCAAAACAATCCATGAAAAATACGTGAAAAATAATATACACCAAAGTCACTTCTAGAAAATATCACTTTGAAAATAATAAGTGACCAAAAAAAAAAAAAAAAATATTTTTTTCCCCCACTTATTTTTACCACTATCTTTGCACTTCATGAATTTTTTGCACTTATTTAAAGTGGTATGAATTTATTAATTTTGTTAAGGTAATACACTTTTTTGTTTTGTATTCTCTGTTCTATTGGGAACCAGTGGAAGGGCTCAGCATCAAAGGATCCGTTAAGTTGGATTTTGAACACTTAAATTTATTATTTTAATTTTTTTTGAACACTTATTTTTTTCAAAGTGATATTTTCTAGAAGTGGTGTATATTTAATATTTTTCAGTTGTTTGGAGCAATTACCATTTTCAATTATTGTATATAATTTGGTTTGATGAACTTCCTGCATTACCTGAATGCTTTGCAGTTTCTCCTCTGCCATCTACTTTCAATTTCTAAGCATTACATATCCCATGGAACCTTGCTGCCTGCAAGTAGTGATTTCTGTACTGACTCGCCTTCTGAAACTCCTCCTCTCAGCCCCTCTGTAGTTCAGAAGGCATGCTCTGTTAAATGAGTGACACAGCAGTGCTAACACACAGGACATAGTGACTATGTGTCACTATATTTGAGGAAGTGAATGTGTGGGGATCTTCACTGTTTGCAAACTGTAAGATTGTTCAGAATAATAGAAGTAATAAAATAAAAGAACAGTCTTCATGCATACGGGACGCACAGGTGTTCTAAGCATCCACATGCAAACCGTCTGAATTTGACAGCTGTCTAGCTACATATCCCCAGCTGTACATTGTCTATGTTTGGGGACATGCACCCACACAGAATTCACAATTGGGACCAGCAGCTGCATCTGTGCAACTGCTGCATTCAAATACACATGAATGTGACTGCCTACACCTGTGCATCCACTGCAAGCAAAATTTGCCAATTACAAAAAAAACAAACAAACAAACCTTACACACCACAATGCAATACTCACAGAAACACATTTTTATTTGGTTAAATTTTGCATAAAAATATGCAAGTATATCAATTGTCTCCAGACAATACATTTTGACCTCTATTTACAGACAAAATTATAGGAAAAAATGGGCTGCATACAGATAGGAGTGGTCTGACCAAAACAGCCCAAGTAGGCAGTTGAAACATACATCAACTAGTACTAATAAAACTATGTATAAAAAGTAATAGTAAAATACAATACACCATATGTTATACTGAGCGGATCATAAGCAAAGCAGGGTGACAACTGCAATCATATACAGCAGTTCTGCAAAGTTAATGTTGCTATTCACCTGTATACTCATGGTGAATTTCACCGCACCCTACACAGTGTCTGAAATATGCATCAATGGCTGGTGAAATGTGAGTGGGTAGTGTTTACCCCCTTCACGCCAGCGCCTCCTGGCCCTTTAAGGGTTTCAAAAGCCAGGAGGCAGGGCGAAGTTTAGGGTCATGTGACAATGTGTCACATGATTGGGAAAGGTCCAGATTCAAAGAGGAGATCGGGACCTTTCCGTGAGTACCGGACATGTGTGCTGGGAACATGCGCGCTCTCAGCAAATCTTTTTAGTAGAACGCAAATGTGTGGCTGCTCGACATCTAGGCCCAGACGCCGGGAGGCCGCACATTCGCATTCGGCTGGCGTGAAGAGGTTAATAATGAACACTCTTGTTCATGAATGTTTTCATGTAGTACATAGACATCCACCGATGTGTGCGAGCACCAATCCAAAGCCATCAAGGACAGAAATACTGGTGTTTTCACCAACAACCGTTTAAATGTTGCAGGTTCCCTGGCTGTTATGTCTGTTCTCCAGATTAGCGGTTTATAGCCCAATTGAATTATATCTAACAAAATGTTCACTTGGAAATGCCCCTTAAATACATTTTCCTCTTAGAGGAAACATGCTTCCTACCCTCCCACACCAGTGCAGGAACAAAGTTCAGAAGTGTAGTCAAATCCAGTGCCCAAATGAACTATGCAGTCATACAGACACACTGCTCAACCAATAACAGATTAGTGGAGGCAAGACCAGGAAAAAGCATGTTTAGTATAATGTATCTGTCAGAGGTCACAAAATATCTATTTTGTGACTCCAATTTGCTTTTCCACTAGTCACAGGCCCAAACAAGTTCTATTCTGCATACCAGCTCTCCAAGTAGCGAGGCTTGGAGTATGACAAAGAGCTAAAAACAGTCCTAAAAAAAAAAAAAGTTAAACATGCTCATTTCCGTAATCAAAGTTCACATTAAATGACCACACACCCCCTAGTACACCAACTTCATCTATGGTTAACAGTCAGTCATTCAAAAGGCCACACTAGTTGCTACACACCCGATTAGCATAGAAAAAGGAAAGTGCATGTGGCACATTACTACAGTATTGCAACACTCAAGAGTGATATCCAACACTGCTCTCAAAAGAGAAACAAGAGGAATGGCCATAGTTTTACCTCAATACAAAAAGAAGCTAGTTTACAAATAAGGTTTTATATATATTATGAAAATAGCTTATCTATTAAGTACCATATTTTGTACAATGATACAAAGTAGAAGACAGAAAACTGCAGGCCTTCTCTTCACTGGTGAGTCTCCTTGAAATGCTTCATGAATTCTGTAAGCTTCTCAACATCATCCACAGTCACTGCATTGTATAGTGAAGCTCGGATTCCCCCCACAGACCTAAAAAAAAAAAAATAAAGAACACCACACACAAGTACTTTAATAAAAGGACAATGGTTCAGTACAGAGGAGCAAGGTTACTGGTTTGGGTGATTGGAGACAGCTGCAAAAGAAGGCAGACAGACAAATGCATTTGTCCACAGGGCTTGGGTGGATTTTCTGCTATATAGCAGGTAGGCAGGGAAAGAAGAAGCACAAAGTTTGATGTCAAGCATGCCTGCTGAGCCCACACATACTGTGGTAAAACTAGGGCACTGTCAAACTACATCAGGAAAATTTGTGTTGTCAGGCAATTTTGTAAAATAATTTAAGACCAGGATGTTACAGCAAACAAAATTTCAGACAAAAGAAGAATGGGGAAGAAAAAAAAAACAAAAAATAAAAAAAGTAGAATCTTGCCCCCATTAACATATAGCGATCCCTGATGGTATGGCATGATGGATAAATATCTCCCTTGTATTTCTCAGCATTGAGGACATCATTGATCGGGTCATGTTGAGGATCGCAGATGCAGTGATCGGCCAAAAGAAAGGAAAATGCAGCAGAATACATCATGCTCATTTCACTTTGACATCAAAAAGGATGTCCAGCAGTGCTATCAGCACAGAACTTTCAGAAACCAGTGGGACCCAGGTAAACCCATCTACTGTCCAGAGAAGTCTGGCCAGAAGTGGTTTTCATGGAAAAGTTGTGGCCAAAAAGCCATACCTCAACGTGGAAATAAGGCTAAGGGACTCAACTATGCATGAAAACAAACTGGTGTGCAGAAAAATCGCAGCAGGTGCTCTGGACCGAGGAGTCAAAATTTTAAATAATTGGCTGTAGCATGAAGCAGTTTGTTCATGAAGGGCTAGAGAGTGTTAAAAATAAAGTGTCTGCAAGCAACAGTGAAGCATGGTGGAGGTTTCTTGCAAGCTTGGGGCTGCATTTCTGCAAATGGAGTTGGAGATTTGGTCAGGATCAATGATGTCCTGAGAAATACAGTTAGATACTTATCCCATCATGCCATATCATATTGGCTCCCACATAGCCCTGATAAACATAATGGAGTCTGAGATTACATAGAGTCTGAGATTACATACGCAGAAGATCTGTTGTTCATTCTCCAAGAGGTTTGTAACAACCTACATGCCAAGCTCCTTCAAAAATTGTGAGCAAGTGTATCTAGAAGAATTGATGTTGCTTTGAAGGTAAAGGGTGGTCACAACAAATAATATTGATTTGTTGTGGATTTCTCTTCTGTTCATTTACTTTCCATTTTGTTAAATTAATAAAAAACAATTAACATTTCTATTTTAGAAAGCATATTCATTTGCAGCATTTTTTCACACCTGCCTAAAAACGGTTTCACAATACTCTATATAGTCATTTCTATTAGCAAGTACAGTGTAGTTATAAAAAAATATTACATCAGCAAGGGCCAATACCCTATGCAGAGTTGTGAATGTAAACCTGATGTTTTAAGTTTTGTCCAATATATATTGGAGAGAGGGTTCCAGTGTTAGACTGGATGTCCACTTTCGCTCTAATTTTTACCCTCTCTTTCTGTAAACAGCAAAAAGTATTCAGAACTGGATTCATTAGCTTTTAACTGCTGCCAACAGAGTGTATATTGTATCTATGGACCTACACATTATATTCATTGGAAGTGCACAATGTCCAGGGAGAATCAGTCCATATGCATTGCAGCAAAACAAGTAGAACAGAAGAGTCAGTAGAACAGAAAGTAATAAAGGCATTCATGGGTTTTGAGCGAAAATGTGCCCAAAAGGAGTTTATTCCTCCCAACGTTTCAATGGACCACAGTCCACATGTTTATCAAGGCCTTTTACCACAGATGTGCTAGAAATTACATTGAGGACTCTGGTGTGTCAAAATATTGGAGGGTACGTCACAACTAGATAAAAGTGTTATATGCCTTAATAAAAACTTTGGGGCCAGGATCCGTGCCTTAAGCCCTGCACCCTTTTGGAACGTGCATAGCACGAAACGCGTCACATCCTTTTATATGTTTGTGGACACTATATGGAACATCGAATTTATTTTTGTGATGAATATATGATCTAATGTCCTCATCTTTCTACTCTTGAAATTGAGTGTATGTTGACATTTCACCTTTTCATTATTAGCGCTGCACCTTTTTGTCTATATATTTAAAAACACTATTCCCTGTGAAACAGACCGCTAAAGGAGTTCATCTAGTAGTTTCAGCAGCTCGAACAAAAGATTTACCACACTTGCATGTGTACAGGGTCAGCAAGTGAAGAATCCCAACTTGCTGTATGTGTGCTGCATATTCTCTATGAAGCATCACTGTGGGTTCTAGAACGTCAACAACTAGTGCAAAACACAGGCAAGTCTTTCCTCCACCCTCAAAAAAAATAATTATACGTTTATTATAGCCATAGAAACAATTGAGTACTGTCCGTGATACTTTTTTTATTTGCACTAACATACAATTTTGAGGACAAGCTTTCGGGGAGTGTCCCCTTCTTCAAAGTCCAAGCAGTACTGTACAAATCACAAAGTTTCAGCAAAATGTTAGAAGAGATGGAAAAAAAAAAAAAAAAAAAAAAAAAAAAAAAGAAGGGGAGAAGAAGAGAGGCTAGAGATAAGATACAGCCAAAGTAAGGGGGGGGGGGGGAGGAATATTATAGCCATAAAATTGTATTTACCTGTGTCCTTTAAGAGACAGCATGCCAAGTGCTGCTGCTTTGTCCAGAAATTCTCTTTCTAGTTTACCATCTCCTTTGATATCTCCAATGCGGAAAGGAATATTCATTCTGCTCCTGCTCTTTTTTTCTACCGGACAGCTGAAATCAGGTAATGTGCTCCAGTTAAAAAAAAAAAAAAAAAAAAAAAAGAGCTCCACACAACCAAACCCACCACAACTTCCAAGAAAAATTACTAAAGCATCCCCTTGTCCACTGAAGTCATTCAAATTTTTTGTAGTACAATAATTCCACTACTTTGGACACCAGATACATTGAGCAAACAAATCAAAAAAGAGATTAGCAAGCTTTATTGCTTTAGCTGGAAAACATAATAATTTAGCAAAAATAACTAAAAAACAGACTATTGCAAAATACAAGGGAACAAGTATCAATTCTGTCCAATAGCAGGGCAATGCTAAACAATTGAAGGAGGAATTAATAAATCTTTCACTGCTCCTAAGCCCTGCAACAAACTAAAATGTGCCCTGACAACTTATTAAGTGTGCGTTTTCTGAGTTGGTCACAGCAGGATTGGAGTTTTCCAGAGTTATTCAGAATTGGAGCTGCAATTATGCAGAATTGTTGCATAAACATGATTAACAAGAGAAGAGTAGTCAGATTTGTGTATTTTTTGTGTCACTAGTTGGCTTTAAAAACCATCCCTTAAAAAAAAAAAAAAAAAAGTTTCCCTAGACTCAGGGGCGGACTGACCATTTGGAAACTCGGGCACGGGGCCCGGGGTCAGTAGGGGGCCCCATGAGATGCCCCTGGTACCTTTTTCATAGGTTTTTTTAAGTTTGGGCAAGGACACAGGGGCCCCATGGTCCCCTATTGCGCCGGGGGCCCCATGCCCGGGGGAATTGTCAGTCCACCCCTGCCTAGACTGCATCCCACTCACACAATGGTTCCACTTTGTCTCCTGCACATGGATCAAAATAAATGGACCTCGCTACCAAGTATCACCCCCATCACCTGGATCCTTCCCGCATTTCCTACCATGCATCTTCAGAGATGCTCCTAGCATTATGAAAGCCTCTACAGCTAGACTATCAAAGTTTAAACAGTATGCAGAGCGGCTCATGTCACTGCACAGGTAGACTCAATGCCAGATGATACAAGCAATAAGATGTGATACAAAATTTCCTGCTGCGGCTATTGTATTTTGACAGCCAGCCCTGTTGGCTATCAAAACTCCTTAAGAGCATCTGCAACAATTTTTTCACTGGCTCCTTTGATTTTCTATTTGAAGGATATTGGGCAGAGGCACCTGACAGAGGCACCCGCTGTAGTCAGCTGAGCTGGTTCCTCAGGAACCAGCCAAAATTCACATTACTCTGTAACTCCTACTGCCTTATCATAATCAAGGCATTGAACAAACACATGGCTTAAGGATTTAAAAAAAAAAAAAAAAAAAAAGCCACACAAAGCACACACTTACACAAAAAATCCATTTGATTCATCAATTACATTATAAATCATCTCTGATTTCAGGATGCTGAGCTTCTCCATACATGCAGCTCCTCCGTTATTCCTAATCCATTCCAGGACAAGTCCCATTATATAGATGCTGCAAATTGAATAAAACAGGTGTACTACATTAGCCATACTGAAAATCAAATGCTGGAAAATAGAAGAGGGAAAAAAAAAATGAATATATAACAAATAACTGCAGTGGATGGTCACTTTAACCACTAGCCTACCGGACACTTAGATCCCCTTCCTGCCCAGGCCAATTTCCAGCTTTCAGCGCTGTCACACTTTGAATGACAATTGCGCAGTCATGCAACATTGTACCCATGTGAAATTTTTATCTTTTTTTTTTTTTTTTTTTTTTTAGACAGATAGAGCTTTCTTTTGGTGGTATTTAATCACCTCTGGGATTTTTATTTTTTCTTAAACAAACCAAAAACCACTGAAGATTTTGAAAAAAGTTTTAGTTTTTGTTATACAATTTTGTAAATAAGTGATTTTTCTCCTGCACTGATGTGCGCTAATGAGGCTGCAGTGATGGGCACTGATGAGGAGGCACTGGTAGGTTGCACTGATGGGCATTGACAGGCATCACTGACGGGCACTGAAAGGCAGCACTGATACATGACACTGATATATGGCACTGACAGGCACTGATAGGCGGCACTGACTGGCACTGATGGGTGACATTAAAAGGCAGCTCAGATGGGCACTGATATGTGGCATTGATGTGCACAGATATGTGGCATTGATGTGGCATTGATGTGGCACTGATGGGCACTGGCACGTCGCACTGATGAGCCACACTGATCCTCAGGGCAAACTGATCATCAGTGCCCTGATGATCAGTGTACATGTCCCCTCCTCGGAAAGCCGATTACTGGCTCTCCTCTCGAGCTGTCAGCGTTACGACCCGAGAGGAGAGAGAAATGCCGATAACCGGCATTTCCGTGTTTACATGTGATCAGCTGTGATTGGACATAGCGGATCACATGACCAAGCCGACATCTTCAGCTCTTTCCGTGATCCGCTGTGTCCAAGGGACACAGTGGACAGGCGATCGCCGCGCTGCGCAGTGAGAATGGTAGGACGTCATATGGACATCCTATCAGAACGAGAGAACCACCTTGCGCCCGTCATTGTACTATAGGGCGGGCGGAAGGTGGTTAAGTATATGTAAACCGAATTAATATCTCATGAGACAACACACACGGTAGTTTCAAATGGAAATTTGAAATCTACAGTTTTTCATTAAACACCTGATGACCATGCTATAAGGTTTCTTGTGAAGGCACTTGTTATAGGGCAATAACGCCATTTTTCACAATTCTTCATCACTGTCACCCTATCAGAGGTTCTGATGGAGAATAAAAGCGGTCACACCTACATAAATTCCACAAGTAGGGTCTATTGTTATCACCATTAGGGATGAAGTTCAGGGTTGCCACTCCCATGGGACAAAAGCAAATCTTTTCAGGTTAGATATTCACTGTAATATATGTAATCAGTGTGGCGCTACAATACACCTTCCCCTTGTGTCTTTCAATATTTGCTACAATCATTACTTAAAGCATTACACAAATTACCATATTGTTAATCTCTGTAATATAAAAACACCCACAATTGTGTAATCATTAATGTTAAAAGTCCACACACACACATACGTGTTGATTTACACACTTTTGCTGGTGACATGTGCTCCTCCCACTATTAGCCACACCCACCATAGCTCCTTATGTTTAGTAAGCAGGTGCTTGTTTCAGCACCACTATTCCTCTCAGGGACTGTGCTCTCTCTCCACCAGCCCCGGAGGTACCTCACATCCTAGGAGGAACACGTGTGTTACCAATACAGGAGTGTGCAAATTTGCATTTTACTATAAAACACTTTAAAGAAGGACTACACTTTATTTGGACTTTTGAACATTGATTGCACATATTAATGATTGTTTTATGGAACTTTGTGCAAGTGGGGGTTGTTTATCATTGCAGAGATAAACAAAGTAGTAAATTTGTGTAATGCACCAAGCGCCACACTGATTACATACAGTATATAGCGGTCTATTCACTAAAGGTTACTGCATGCCATAACACTGTCACGTGACTCATTTGCATAAAATCACATGTAGTAACAAAATGTTATTTTTTTTTGGACAACAAAACAAAACAGAAAAAAAAAAAAAAAAAAAAAAAAAAAAAAAAAAAAACACAACACCACACACAACACACAATTCTGCGGTATTTTAACCTCCCTGGCGATCTGATTATGTCAGTATTTCTCAATCCAAAAGCAGTACATTGTTTTGCATGGAAATTTGTGGTTTTATATTGTAGGTATAGGAATAACTCTAAATCTGTCCAATCAAGAGTCTAGTAAACATCCCAGGTATGAAAGTTTGAAACATGAAATCAGAATTATAAAAATAGCACAATAATAAAATTTAAATTCAATAATGTAATCAAACCAAAAACATTGAAATTTTTCCAAACAAGGGTGCAATATTACTAGACACTACATATTGGTTTAGTAAACCTCCCAGGTATGAAAACATGGGACTGCACAAAGTCCAATGTCACAATCAGGACAATGGAACCTGGTTTTCTTTGATTATCCTTCCACTGTCATCTCGCTTTGAGCAACAAACCACACACATCCTAGTAGGTGCTGATTTTTTCTCGGTTGGTGGGATGCAGTCCATGAAGTGTCAACCAGTCAAGCGTTCTGGGTTGACAACGCCAACAGCACCACGACCTCTATTCACAGCAGATGGTTTTTGGTGGTTTACAGAGATACAGTCGGCAATTTTCCAAATAAAGTCCAAATGAATCACAGGCTTGTCACTCTTGAGCAGAATGTTGGCATTCCACAAGCATTGCTCAAGAAGATGCCTGAAGATCTTCTTGTAGTACTTTTTCTGTTTCCTCATTGCTGGGTAGAATGTCATTGCTTGGTCGGCTCTGTCAACACCTCCCATGGTGTTATTGTAGTCCATCACTAATTGTAGCTTCACGATTTCTTTCCCACCTTGTGAATACCATAACAGAGGAGGTATTATGAATTGTACTCATTAGTCACACCATCGCAGTGCCATCATTTTGCCTTTCTGCTAGGCAACTATTTCTCCAGTCTTCAGCTTCTTATTGCCAAACATTGGCGGCATGTCGTGCCGGTTAGCCCTAATGGTTCCATAGGCATCGGTTTTGTTTTGCAGAAGAAACTCAAAGTTTAGGAGACATCTAAAAGTTGTCAGTTGTTATGCAATAGCCCTGATTTAGCAATGGCTCAATTAGTGAAAGAACAGAAGAGGTTGCCATTCCATAGTTGCTGTATTTTGTATTGAATTTTGTTCCTTTTCCAGTGTATATTACTGAATTCTAAATGTAGCCAGTTGACAATTCGCACAGCATGTAGGATTTTACGCCAAATCGTGCTCTTTAATGCAATGTATAATAATAATGCACCCAGCTGAGCCCTCCTTGTAGGCCATTAGACTTTCATCTATGCGGCTCTTTCTGGCACATAGCTCCGTTGGAAATGCTTTAGAATCATTTGAGATATGTTCCAAAATAATTTCGCTTTGGTGCAGGAGGAGTAGTTTCAAATTCTTCGTTGTTTTCAAAGTGTAAAAATTTCATGATCACAGAAAATCTGTACTCTGACATGGCCATGCCAAAGAATGGAGTGGCAAGTAATTTGTTAGTTGTCCAATACCACTTCTGCAGGGGTTTCCCCACCACTCCCTGAAGTATTAGGCCCAGAGATTTCCAAATGTCATCTTTGGTCACTGGTTCCCACTTTCTGCTTCTCGAAAACCTCAGACGCAGGGTAGCCAATTGTTGCTCTTGGTACCGGTTTGTCTAAGTAACAATTTTTTCAATAACCTCATTGGTCAGAAATAATTGTAAGTATGCCAAGAAGTTGTCATGTTCGATGTCTACTTTCATACTAGATGCTCCAGTAAATGGGAACTTGGAGGGGGGGGGGGGGGGGATCCGTAGCACAGTCAATATCCCATCAAGTTCGCACATCACTGATCTCAGTAAAAGAATCGTCGCTGTCCTCATTTTCAGTGTAATCACAAATTTCCCCACGAATCACTATCACTCAGTTCTAATTCACTGTCTCAGTCTTCTAGCTGGTCCAAAACCGCTTTTGGCCTACAGGGATGCCATGGACATTCTCAAGTTTCCAGGCAGAAAGAATGGTCAAAGTGCAGGCAGGACACTGGACAAATCTGAGGTGAAATAGATTGATACAATAATGTAATCCTAATAGATTACAATGTATTGTGTGTATGTCACATTATAACTTTTTTGAATTTCCCGCCGGCTCTGCCCCCAATAAGTACCAACGCTCACGGAGAACTGAACCCGGAAGACGGATGCCGGCATCGGCTGGAGGACATGGCTGGGGACGCAGCGGGAGGACATTGCGGGACAAGGTAAGGCTCGAGGGGTCACTGCAGTGTAATCCCGAGTGTTGCTCGGGGTTACTGCTTCTGGTACTGAAAGTTAACCCCGAGCCACACTCGAGATTACCGCCAGGGAGGTTAATGCAAAATTAAAAATATGTTGGCAAATACCACAAATGAAAAAATGCGGTAGGCTGCTAAGTCCACAAACAGAATGTTTTAAAAAAAAAAAAAAAAAAGGGGAGGTGGTGATATTTATCAATAGGGATTTGCTGGTGGTATCACATACTGTATTTTTTCAGATACAGTGAGGGGGTGTCCCTCCCAACACCTAGGGATCTGGTATGGATATTAAGAGGAACCCCACGCCAATGAAGAAAAATTACGTGGGGTCCCCCCGCACACCTTTCTCCACGCCTTCATTTTGGGGTGGGCGTCCCTCAAAATCTATACCAGACCTAAGGGCAGTTTTTTGTATTTTGAGTTATTTACAAAATTCCTTAGTGAATTGCACATTTGCAAAGAATTAACCGCATGCGCTATTTTACAGCAGTGTGCACATACCCTTACTATTATGTTTACTGGAGGGATTACCAGAGGTCTGCATGCAAACATGCGATGAAAGAAAATCAGGAAATCAATACTTTTTGAAGAGTAAAAAAAAAAAAAAAAAAAAAATGTAATAATAAATGAATCATATGAACCATTGGAGTTGAAAAAATAAAGAGGTGTTACATGCAACTAGTAGTTTACCTGAAACATGGAGGAGTATTATACAGTGAGCCATTTCCTGCCTGGATTTTGTAATCCAAAACTGTAGGGCATTCTTTCACTGCGAAGCCCAACAAGTCTTCCCGGACTATGACAACTGTGACACCAGCACATCCAACATTCTTCTGAGCACCAGCAAAAATAAGCCCAAACTAAAAAGGAAGGAAACAGTTTAGAGATCACACGGTTCTTGGTTACTAATCCAATTCTAAATGCTTCCAAAAAGTATATAAAAAAAAAAAAAAAAGTTTGGGCTATGTTTTCAAGCACAATATTATTATTTATTTTATTTCAGGTACTTATATAGCGCCGTCAATTTACGCAGCGCTTTACACACACACACACACACACACACACACACACACACACACACACACACACACACACACACACACACAGTCCCTAACCCTCAAGGGGCATACAATCTAAGGTCCCTAACTCACATTCATATACTAGGGCCAATTTAGACAGGATCCAATTAACCTACCAGCACGTCTTTGGAGTGTGGGAGGAAACCGGAGTACCCAGAGGAAACCCATGCAGGCACAGGGATTACATGCAAACTCCAGGCAGGAGGTGCCGTGGCTGGGATTCGAAACCAACGACCCTAGTACTGCCAGGCAGAACTGCTAACCATTTAGCCACTGTGCTACCCAGGCAATATCATCAATACTGTACTGGTCGGATGTCAGATAAATTAATTCTGATAAGTGCATTGACCTAGTGCAGCTAAACACTTTGTGCATGGTTTATTAAAGCAGTATTAAATCCCCAAAAGTTACAGTTGCAAGAAAAAGTATGTGAACCCTTTGGGATTACGTGGAGTTTTGCATGAATTGGGCATAAAATGTGCTCTGAACGTCATCTAAAGTCAGCAATAGAAGAACACAGTCTGCTGAACATAATACTACACAAACATTAGATGTTGCCATGGTTTAATTGCACATAACATGTAAACATTCACAGTGCAGGGAGGAAAAAAGTATGTGAACCTTTGGACTTAATAACTGGTTGACCCTCCTTTGGCAGCAATAACCTCAACCAAAAACGTTTCCTGTAGTTGCAAGATCAGACCCACAACGATCTGGAGTAATTTTGGACCACTCCTCTTCACAAAACTGTTTCAGTGTAGCAATATTCTTGGGATGTCTGGTGTGAATCGCTCTCTTAAGGTCATGCCACAGCATTTCAATTGGGTTAAGGTCAGGACTCTGACTGGGCACTCCAGAAGGCGTATTCTGTGCTGGTGCAGCCATTGTTTTGTTGAATTATTTGTATGCTTTGGGTCATTGTCCTGTTGCATCACCCATCCTCTGCGGAGCTTCAGTTGGCAGACAGATGGTCGTACGTTTTCCTGCAAAATGTCTTGATAAACTCTGGAATTCATTTTCCCATCAATGACAACAATCCGTCCAGGCCCTGAGGCAGCAAAGCAGCCCCCCAAACCATGTGCTCCCTCCGCCATGTTTTACAGTGGGGATGAGGTTTTGATGTTGGTGTGCTGTGCCTATTTTTTTTTTTCTCCACACATAGTGTTGTGTGTGTTCTTCCCAAACAACTCAATCTTGGTTTCAATTGTCCACAGTATATTTTGCCAGTAGTGCTGTGGAACATCCAGGTGCTCTTTTGCAAACATCCAAACGTGCTGCAATATTCTTTTTGGACAGCAATGGCTTCCTCCGTGGTGTCCTCCCATGTACTCCATTCTTGTTTAATGTTTTCCTTATTGTAGATGTGTCAACAAAAATGTTAGCATGTGCCAGAGATTTCTGTAGGTCTTTAGCTGACCACTCTGGGATTCTTCTTTACCTCATGCAGCATTCTGCGCTGTGCTCTTGCAGTCATTTTTACAGGACGACCACCGCCTAGGGAGAGTAGCAACAGTGCTAAACTTTCTCCATTTGTAGACAGTCTGTCTTACCGTGGACACATGAACATCAAGGCTTTTGGAGATACTTTTGTAACCCTTTCCAGCTTCATGCAAGTCAACAATTCTTCATCGTAGGTCTTCTGAGAGCTCTTTTCTGCGAGGCATGGTTCACATAAGACAGTGCTTCTTGAAACCAGTAAACCCAAAACAGGTGTGTGTTTTTTAAGGGCAGGACAGCTGTCACCAACACATCCAATGTCATCACACTGATTGGAGTCAAGGTTGGGCTCACTCTTGGCTCCAATTAGCTCTGGAAGAAGTCATTAAGCTAGGGCCTCACATACTTTTTCCTCCCTGCACTGTGAATGTTTACATGTTATGTGCAATTAAACCATGGCAACATCTAATGTTTGTGTAGTGTTCAGCAGACTGTGTTCTTCTATTGTTGTGCCTTAGATGACGTTCAGAGCACATTTTATGCCCAATTCATGCAAAAACTCCACGTAATCCCAAGGGGTTCACATACTTTTTCTTGCAACTGTATATATTGCAGCTTACCAATCATTAGGATGGTGGCTGTTAAGTTTTCTTATTTTTAGGCATTTTTCCCCCTGTGTTTTCACCTGGTGATCTGGTCCATAATACACCTCCTGTATTAGAGTGCCCCTCTCTGGATGAAGGAGCACAGGGGCACCCATTGATAGCAGCATTGTCAATGTACCAGCAGATTTAAATACACTAACAAAATGCAAGCCAAATTCCAGCTTACACTGCATTTACAGCAACTTTCTTTTGAGATAAAGATTTTACATGAACAAAATCATAACCACCCGCTTCAGTGGTAAATTGTCTGCTAGTTGCTACATTTCTAGGAGAACCTGTTCTGTTGAAAAGCAGACTAACTGGCTTGGATTACCAGATGAAAACAAAAAAGAAAAAAGCCTAAGAAAGAAAAAAATAAAAAAAATGAATGCAGCCATCACAAGCAATTGGTATTAAATGAATGCCTTTGGGTTTAATACTGCTTTAAGTCTGTTACTAACAGCTTTGAATGTCCAAAGGAAATCTATTTTGTTTCAGAATGTCTCCCTCTGGAAACATCCATTTTACTATTAAAGCAATTCATAAGCAGAATAGTATATAGGGAGACTTTTTAGGTTTAACCTGGCTCTTGAAATAGAGCAAAGTAGAAATCGATAGCAAATATTTTAGAAAAGTGTCCTGCTCAAAGCTCCGTCCAGTACTTGCCATACATACAAAAACTGAGCACCATTTGAAATAATGACTAACCTGGTCTATGCATTAATGTGTGTTAAAATGCATGTCCATTGACCCTAAAGTATACATTTTATAGTCAACTCTCAGTGCATAAAGGTATTTTAAAAAAAAAAAAAAAAAAAAAGTCTTAATTCCGAGATTAGTGGTGCATCGAAAATTCAAGATGCATTTGGGCAAAAACTAATCAAAATGGACAGCTTTTTATATCTAAAAATAATTTTATACATACATTTTATTTATATTCTGTCCATCCATCCAGTAACTCAAATAAAAACTTTTATTGAAAGTATATTGTGAACAAGTGACGCGACCAGGTGGGAGAAGCCCCACGTGTTTTTTTCTATCAGGAAAAATGCATATAACACAATAATTTTCAGCGGCTGACATAGTAGTGCATCTGATACTTTTAGTTCCAAGTAAATTCCTGCAAAATAAATTGCTCACCAAGACAGTGGTGCGACATTCTGATGTCCCTAGCTGGGACCATAATTACTATAGGAAATTTAGCAGAAAACCATTTATTTACGCTCAATTCTCTATAGCAAGGCATATACAAGTTGCCTTGTCCAGGAATCCTGAGTTCTCATCTGTCCTCTGCTGCGATTCCGGTCTTGTGACTAATGCCAAGATACAGTTAGGTCCAGATATTTTTGGACACAGGCACAATTTTTAGTTTTTCAGGTATTTACCAAAACATATTCCAGCTATAGTTATATAATGGATATGGGCTGAAAGTGCACACTCAGGTTTAATTTGAGGGTATGTACGTCCGAATTGGAGGAAGGGTTTAGGAATTACAGCTCTTAAGAGTAACCATCCCCCCTTTTTCAGAGGACCAAAAAGTAATTGGACAATTGAATATAATCAAATAAAAATTTTCGTTTTTTTAATCTTTTGTTGAGAATCCTTTACTGGCAATGACAGCCTGAAGTCTGGAACCTATAGATATTACCAAAGACTGGGTTTCCTCCTTTCTGATGCTTTGCCAGTCTCTAACTGCAGCTGTCTTCAGTTTTTCTTTGTTTGTGGGTCTTTCCGCCTTTAGTTTTGCCTTCAGCAAGTGAAATGCATGCTCAATTGGGTTGAGATCAGGTGATTGACTCGGCCATTGCAGAATATTCCACTTTTCCTTCAAAAGCTCCTGGGTTGCCTTTGCAGTGTGCTTTGGATCATTGTCCATCTGTACTGTGAAGAGCCATCCAATCAACTTTGCTGCATTTGGCTGAATCTGGGCTGGCAGTATATCTATAAACACTGCAGAATTCACCTGGCTGCTTCTGTCACATCATCAATAAAACACCAATGACCTAGTGCCACTGGAAGCCATGCATGTCCATGCCATCACACTGCCTCCACCATGTTTTATAAATAACATTGTGTGCTTTGGATCATGAACTGTTCCAAGCTTTCTCCACACTTTTCTTCCCGTCATTCTGCTACAGATTAATCTTAGTTTCATCAGTCCAAAGAATGCCTTTCCAGAACTAGTATGGCTTTTTTTCTTTGTTTAGAGGTTTTTTTGCAAAGTCTAATCTGGATTTTCTATACTTCAGACTTATGAATGGTTTGCGCCTTGTGGTGAACCCTCTGTATTTGCTCTCAAAGTCTTCTCTTGATTGTAGACTTTGACAATGATATGCCCACCTCCTGGAGAGTGTCCTCCACTTATGCGTATGTTGTGAATGGGTTTTTCTTTACCATAGAGAGGATCCTGCGATCATCCACCACTGTTGTCTTCTGTAGACGTCCATCCTTTTTATGTTGCTAAGCTCACCAGTGCATTCTTCTTTCCTCAGAATGTACCAAACTGTTGATTTGGCCACTCCTAATGTTGCTGCTCTGATGAATTTGTTTTGTTTTTGAAGTCTTACAATGGCCTGTTTCACTTACATGGACAACTCCTTTGAACACATGATGTAGGTTCACAGTATAGATTCCAAATGTAAATACCAAACTTGGAATCAACTCCAGACCTTTTACCTGCTTAATTGATGAAGAAATAATGAAGGCGTAGCCCACACCTGGCCAAGAAACAGCTTTTGATTCAACTGTCCAATTACTTTCTGGTCCCTTGTAAGAGGGGGGATGGCTACTCTTAAGAGCTGTAATTCCTAAACCCTTCCTCCAATTTTATGTATATACCCTCAAATTAAACCTGAGAGTGTACACTTTTAGCCCATATCCATTATCGAACTATAGCTTTGTTTTGGTAAATACCTGGGGAAAAAAAAAAAAAAAAAATACTACTAATACATATATATATATATATATATATATATATATATATATATATATATATATATTAAAAAAAAAAAAGTGTGCATGTGTCCAAATATATATGGCCCTAACTGTATTTGACAGGTGTTCTTAAGAGTTTAGGCAGAGTTCTTAAAATCACTGCCTGTCTTTGCTTATTAAGAGAAGACATTTTAGATGACAGTCTTAATCAAAAAGTGTAGAGGGAGCATGGTCATAAAGTGGAGAGGGAATAGAACATCTGCCCGGTTTTTACTGGTGTCTGGCCCTATCAGGGAGATTAACCCTCTATTTTTCACTATCACTGGGTTGTCACTCAACAGGAATATAGAGTTCAAATCTTCCAATTGGGAAACTAGTTCTGTTGACCCTTGTCATAACCAGGGACTCCCTCTTACTTCATTGCTTTGGTTATGGGACAGAAATACCCCAATGGAATACAATGGGGGGGGGGGGACCCCCCACAAAGCAATGTTTGCCTTTAGAGTACTGGCATAGGTCCACTAAAAAACAAAAAACACCCACACACAACACTTTGTAAACAGTACCAATTCTACATTTGAGTAATGGTCTCTGTCAATAGCTTGCTACTTTTAAACATTGTCCACATAGAATATTTATTTCAGAAATTATGTTTTTTGTGCTAACATTTAGGATACAATTAATAGCACAAAACCACTGTGTGATCCACAAATATCTATCTATGCAGTTACAGCTAACAATCTATAACAGGAAAACTTACAAACCTTTGAAACATCAATTGGTCTAGATAGGAAGTTTGATGACATATCACAAACAAGAACCGCGCCCTTTACATCTGGGATGTACTGGAATTCCACACCATGAACGGTTTCATTGGCACAATAGTACACATAAGAAGCTTCTGGATTAAGATTCCATGTACTTGGATCTGGAATTTCTGAAAGAATGCTACATTTTCAAAATATGGTTTCAAAGCAGACTAAATGTGTAAAAAAATATAGGTTTTCCTTTGTTTTATTATATTGAAGGTAGAACTAAAAAGGCAAACTTTTTTTTTTTTTTTTTTTTTTTTAACTATAGTTAGAAGGCAGAGGGATTACAACACCTGTTAGGTTTTGATCACTGTCGGTGTCCCTGTTAGGGAGATTAGTCCTATCTACCTTTATCAATGAGAGCAAAGACAAAAAAAAAAAAAAAAAAAAATCCAAATTTTGGGTTGTTCTCAGAAAAGTAATAGGAGGGGAAAACTTCCAATGGGGACACTAGTTCTGGTGACCTGGGAGTCCAAGAGATTCTTAATTTGCAGGGTCCTGTTTTGGCTCCTCCCTTACTCTAGACAAAATTGGGGAAAAAAAATTAAAACATTTCTGCCTATAATTCTACTTTAAAATGTTCGACGTGTTACAATGAAAAGATCCACTTCACATTGTGGGGGTGTTCTAAACCATCTCCACTATCCAAAACCAAGAAAAAAAAGTTTTCCTTTAGTTATACTTTAATCTACAGATGACTATAATTATGTGTCAGCCAGGTCCATTACAAATTACAGATTAGAGGACCCATAGCCTTCCTCACTTCTTTCCATCATGCACCTGTCAGTTGGTTACATTTGTAAATCCCATGACAATCTAACTCAACTGTACATAACAGATTTAAAGCACAACTATACGCACCTAAACTCCAGCAATGCTGCATCCTGGGAGTTCCCCACCAGGCTGGCTTCCTATGGCCGGCCATGGCCATTGGCCAGGTGGGATGGCGTCACTCCCGTGGATGTACGGGAGTTCAGTCAGATTGGGCATTGCCAAATTTGTACAGTGAGCGACATGTGTTGCTCACTTTACAGGGGCAAACAAGCAGGTATGTACCTTTAATGCAGGAAACAAAGCAGGTCTTCTTCTGCATTACAAATCCTGCCTGTCTGCTGAAGTATCCTATCCCTTGCTCTGGCAGTATGTTATCCTAAGAAATAAAACCAAATGGTGCTCAACTTTTTTTTTTTTTTTTTATGTGCTGTGCTGCAAAAAATGAGGATACTGCCAACAAAAAATGAAATCTCTCAGCAGAAACCCAATTGCCAGTGTAGCCTTGACCAATTTTCTATTTCTACAGCAAACATTTACAAATAGTTAAACCCTTTCAGACAATCACTAATTGTAACAAAAAACTAAGATAGGCAGTTTTATTTACCAGTGTAGCTTGCAAGTTTGGGGTGCACAATGTTGACCTTTCCATATTTCTCAGCTTCTTTGGCTGCTTTTGCTGACCAAGCACCCGTAACTATGTAGTCTGCACATTTTGATTCTTTTAAACCGATAAGATTAAGGGGAATGCCACTAAATTGGCCACTTCCACCTCCTTGGAGAAAAAGGACTTTGTAATTCTCTGGAATATTCCTGTTTGGTGTAAAAGAAAAAAAAAAAAAAAAAACAATTGGATTTATCGTTACAATCAAAATAGTAAAAGGTTTAGAAATCTACAGGAACCTGCACTGAAAAAATGAAGACTTACAATAACTCTCGTAAGAACATCTCTGTGGTGTTCAAGATTTTGGAAAAATCTGACGATCTGTGGCTCATTTCTGTGTTAAAGTGAAAAGATGTCCATTATAGCTTTAGTGCTGTACTACCTGGTTTCATACAAATCTGCAATGTACATACCAAGAACACTGATCCCAAGGCCCTTGTAGTCAACAAATTCTTTCTGGGCTTCCAGCAAAACCTACAAAAAGAAGACCGTTAAAGCAGGTTAACATTTAACTCAAACGTCAATGGAACATTTTTCTTCCAGGCTTTTGAATAGAGCAGAATGAAAGGTTATACTCTACCAGGGAAGGAGAACCCAAGTGATGGCTCAGGAGACGTCAGCATTCATAAAAGTTTCTGGAAATCACTTAGGCTCCATTCACAACTGGTGTTTCTGAAACGTTTTGTTGTGCAGCAATTGCACCAAAACGTGTGGTGGAAAAACGCACCAAGCTCCACTCCAAAAAAGTTTCTGAAGCTTCTTTAGGGCATTTGTCCACATAGGGAAGCCCGTTCAAGTAAATGGGCTGCCCTATGTGCGATGAGCGGAAATGCTTGAAAAACTTGTAAAACTACAAGAGCAGAAATGTGCATTCCTGCTACGCTCGGGTCTCATTCCAGTCTAGAAAGACCCAATTCCATTTTGTTCATGCATACTTAGATTCTTACACAAGTAGGAAAAAAAAAAAAAAATGGATTGGATCAGTAGGTCTCTTCTCTATTAGGTTTGTGCCATTAGGGTCATTGTTTCTATGCACGGTCTAGTGTCCATTTACGCTATCCCTCTATTACACACATTGTCATTACACCCTAAATGTACAAACAGTTTAATTTAAAGTGTTACTAAACCCACAACAGTAAAATCAGTCTGTATATGCAGTAAAGCATGCCTGTTATACTCACTGTGGAACCTAAGGGGGTTAATCCTCTGCATTGTGTAAAAACAGTTTGATCTTTTGAGCCGTTTGATCCTGACTTCCCTGATCCTCCCCTTCTTTCAGTGCCCTCCTTATCTTGTGATAAGACATATCATGTGGAGTCACTCTGCACATGCTCAGTTTGGTGTGCATTGCTACAGGTTTTTTTTTTTTCTTTGGGAGAGCACATGTGAGCAGCACAGTGCCAATCAGCAATGTCCAGACAGAGGTCAGGGGTCCTGCATCCTCCTAGAGCACAGTAAAAACTCCTCCTACAAGCTTTAACATGTGCTCAGCTGGACAAATGTTACAAGACTGCTCTAACTGCTGATGAGAAAAAGGTTATCAGTTTATATTTACTAAAATAATTGCACTTCTGTGTTCTGTGGGAAACCAGATATAGTGAATGCAGGGCCCTGGGCTTAGTAACACTTTAGGTAGCCAGTGATCCTTATCTCCTTGGATTTTTCTAAACGTTCATAACCATGTTTTGCGTATATACAGCAGCAAGGGTGATGCAAGATTTTAAATGGTCAGCCACTGCATATATGAACTGCTGTCTTGTTTTGGGGCGTGCCCCATTGGCACTGCAGGAATTATGATGGAGCAATCACTGACAGCAGACAAGCATGGCTCTCCATGTCAGCATTGTGCAGCCAATCACAGTGCAAAAAGATCATGAGCCCCGCCTACCAGCTCCAGAATCACAGCCCACTGGGTTTTTTTGCAAAGCATTGCAGCCCTGATCAGTAGATTACGGTGCATTATCAGGCTCCTGCAGGCTTTTCCTCCTGCTCCCTGCTTTTAGTTATGGAGCTGGAGGAAGTGTCAATAGACTATGAATGCTGTGAAAAAGTCACTTGTTTTCCATTGAGAACTATAAGTCAGTCTGCCTTGTGGACAAGAATTTTAGTTTATTCAATCCCAGATCTCTGAATGAGTTAAGCGGCTGTGTGAAGGAACCCCCCTGATTTCAAATGCTTACATGGGGCGGTTAGTTTGGCACTTACTGCGGTCAATCAAATGTAGTGAAGAGGAAGTGGGGGGCAGAGCCAAGTCCCACTGTGTGTGTCTATGGAGCGCGGCTCTGTGGACACACAGGTCAGGAGCGTGTATGCAGAGTGTGTCCCCATAGCAAACAGCTGGCTATGGGGGGCACACAAAGAAAAGGAGGAGCCGAGATCACCGGTGGGGAGACATAGGGTTGCCACCTCATCTCTTTAAAACCCGAATTACACAGGTACTGTGGCTGATTAAGGTGATAATTAAACTCACTGAGCCCTGGTTTACATATATGCGTCCGTGTGGGCCGCATTTTACGCGGGCATGAGAGCCCAGTCATTTGAATGGACTCCAGTGCAACGCAGAGAAGTCCCTGCACGTTTGAAAACGCAGCCTGTACGGGAACCTCAGTTCCCAGTATGGTTGCATTTTCCAGTGCAGGCAAATTGCCATTAGAACTAATGGCACACCCCGCGGGTCTGCATTCTTCTGTGCAACTGCACGCATTTTAGGGCCACTTTGTGCAATATCACTGCACAAAGCAGGCGAGTACACCATAAATATGCTAAATGTGGGAAGGGGTGGACGCCGCTCTATTGATCCCCCGGAGTCAAACAGAAAGCAGTGTGGGCTCTAGCTGGCAAATCCAACACAACAAACACTTTTCTCCTGCACTTGGAAAGGACTCAGTAGACCCAATAGGAATGTTCTGGGACATGCACTGCTTGCTGCCCTCAACAGACCGGGGTGGTCCAAATACACTGGATGCAAATGGAGAAACAGATAAAGGGCGCACCGACCTAGTGCATTATCGTTTAAAATATTTATTGAAGAAACAAAAGTAAGTATAATTACTCACAATAGACATAAAAACACAGGCATGTCAAACTTGAACAAGATGTATAATCCAAATATCTGAGTCCATATGATGGAACCCTGGTTGACTAACTGGCTAATGCGTTTCAAGGGCACAACCTCTTCCTCAGAGCCAACCTGGCCCTGAGGAAGAGGTTGTGTCCTCGAAAAGCATTAGCCAGTTGGTCATCCAGGGTTCCATTGTATGGACTCAGATGTTTGGATTATACATCTTGTTCAGTTTGACATGCCTGTGTTTTTATGTTTATTGTGAGTATGATGCTTAGTTTCTTCAATGAATATTTTAAACGATAATGCACTAGGTAGCTGGGCTCTAGCTGGCCTCATCCGTCACTCCGGCCAGGCAACTGATGCGTTTCACCCCACCCATCGGGGGCTTGATAATAGAGGCTCTCCAGCTTCTTCTGTCCAGCTTCGAGCGGTACCATAAGCTTGTTACTAGGAGAGTATACAATGTTTGTTATTTTAACTACTTGCTAACCGCAGATAGCCGAATGACGGCTGCACTGCGGCCGGCCAGTTCTGGGTGGACGTCATATGACGTCCTCCCAGAACGCGCTCTCCTGCGCGCCCCCTGGGGGCGCGCACCCGGCGATCTCCGTGATCGCTGTGTCCTACGGACACAGATGATCACATGACGTGGTAAAAGGCCAATCACAGTGGCCTTTTACCACATGATCAGCCGTGTCCAATGACACGCTGATCACCGGGAAATGCAAATGCCGGTTCTTGGCTGCACTTTCCTCACGCTGTCAGATCGTGAGGAAAGTACTGCCGAAAACCGGCAGTTGTCAGAGCGGGGATTGGCACCGATCATCAGGGTCACTGATCATCAGTGCCCTGATGATCGGTGCCCAGCAGTGCCACACACAAGTTCCGCCCTCCTGTGCCCAGCAATGCACCCACCTGTGCCACCCAGCAATGGACCCACATGTGCCCAGAAGTGCCACCCACCTGTGCCCAGAAGTGCCACCCACCTGTGCTGCCAGTCAGCGCCGTGAGTCAGTGCCACCTATCAGTGCCTTCTATCAGTACCCATTATCAGTGTCACCTATCAGTGCCACCTCATTAGTGCCGCCTATCCGTGCCACCTCATTAGTGCCGCCTAACAGTGCTGCCTAACAGTGCCGCCTCATTAACGCACATCAGTGAAGGAGAAAAATTACCGGTTTGAAAAATTTTATAATAGAAACAAAGAAACTTTTTTTTTCAAATTTTTTTGCACTTTTTTTGCTTATAGCACAAAAAGTAAAGTGCCCAGCAACGATTAAATACCACCAAAAGAAAGCTCTATTTCTGAGGAAAAAAAATGATAAAAATTTCATATGGGTACAATCTTGCATGACCGCGCAATTGTCAAAGTGCGACAGCGCTGAAAGCTGAAAATTGGCCTGGTAAATAAGGGGGTATAAGTGCCCGGTAGCCAAGAGGTTAATTGAAGAAAAAAAAAAAAAAAAAAAAAAACCAGACTTCAGTAACACTTTAAATATAGGTGTAACATAGAGCTTGGTCCTAGATGTGGAATTAGCCACCAATGTGATAGCCGTCAAGTCATGGGAGGGAGGCAATGACCTGGCGGTTGACAGCACTGCTCTGGACCTTCTCAGTATTTAAAGGTAAATGGTTAAGGTCTGGTATAGAGTATTTGTTGTATCACTTTGTTTATAAAATAAATAGTAATACAGGTCTATGGTTTATACATAGCAGTACTGAAGCTGCTGCAAGTTGTTCTGTCTCTGTAGTGAACACAGCACTGTTATATACAATGGTGCAGTCTGTTCACTTGGAATATGCTTGGTCAGGCATCCATTGTGAAATGAGATTATGAATTCAGAATAAATTCAGCTAATGATCAAGTGTTTGGGATAAAGGCTGACAGTGCAAATGCATTGTTCCATGGGCTAATCCCCTGCCACTGACCACACCCCTTATGTGTGCTCTTCCTAGGATTGGTCAGACAGTGACAGCTGATGCAACTTCTCCCCATATTGAGTCTCTTATGTGCAGGGACAGAACAAAACCACTGTTGTGTGGTCCATCTCTCCTACATTAACAGATGCATTCCTGAAAGTCGTTCAAGCAGACGTGCTCAGAGCTCCTATTTTCTCATCCAGTGAACCAAATGAATCATCCTACTGATAACTGTGCGGTACAGGAGCACGGGGACGCCAGCAGAATACTAAGTGGCATGCAGAGAAAAACTACCTAGAATGCAAACTATAGATTCTCAGAAATGAATGGGAGATGCTCATAGGAGCACCGTCAGGAGAAGCAAATCCAGCACATTGCTACGCTCAGGTACCAGGGACTCCATTTTGCACCAAAAGCTTCTTTTTGCTAATAATCAGGACATCTCTTAGAAAGGGGATACATGCTTCAAAAGACAAACACAAGAATCATGCACCTTCACAGCATGCTGCAGAAGTCCAGATTTAGATGTACGAAGTATAACTACATTATTATTACAAATACAACAGGTATTAATGCCTTGCACTATAGGACAATGGGTAGCATTGAAGCCTACTTATATTATTAGAGAATAGAATTGTATGACTCAACCTGAATCTGGAATAAATCCATCCTATTTGGATACAGAATTGTTGGGGGGGGGGGGGGAGGAGCAGAGAACAGTCATGTCTGATCTAGTCTAATTCCATTGCAGGCTTATGTGTGCAGTACAAACACAGCACAAAACCTAGCCAAGACTCCCCCCCCCCCCCCAACCCCCCCCCCCCCAAATCTCATACTGGTTCACAGGGTCAGATATTCAGAAGCTTTCAATTAGAATTTTTACTATGAAATCAAGCAGAACATAAGCTGCACTGTCAGTGATTAATTCCTTGCTAAAAGTATATAACAGTGCAGTAACACATAGCAGCCAATCAGAAAACTGCTTATGCCTTTGCTGGAAGTATGTCATGCAATGACAGGTTAGTGCAGTAGCCCATAGCAACCAATCACAAAGCATCCTGCACCTCTGCTGAATCTACGCAATGCAGTGACAGGAAACTAGTGCAGTAGCCCATAGCAACCAATCAGAAAACTGCCTTCGCTGGAAGCATGTCATGCATTGACAGGTAACTAGTGCAGTAGCCCATAGCAACCAGAAAAACATCCTGCACCTCTGCTGAACCTACACAATCCAGTGACGGGTAACTAGTGCAGTAGCCCATAGCAACCAATCAGAAAATAGCCGGCACCTCTGCTGAACCTACACAATCCAGTGACGGGTAACTAGTGCAATAGCCCATAGCAACCAATCAGAAAACTGCTGTGGCCTTTGCTGGAAGTATGTCATGCAATGACAGGTAGTTAGTGCAGTAGCCCATAGCAACCAGTCAGAAAAGCATCCTGCACCTCTGCTGAACCTACGCAATGCAGTGACGGGTAAACTAGTGCAGTGGCCCATAGCAACCAATCAGAAAATAGCCAGCACTTCTGCTGAACCTACACAATCCAGTGACGGGTAACTAGTGCAATAGCCCATAGCAACCAATCAGAAAACTGCTGTGGCCTTTGCTGGAAGTATGTCATGCAATGACAGGTAGTTAGTGCAGTAGCCCATAGCAACCAGTCAGAAAAGCATCCTGCACCTCTGCTGAACCTACGCAATGCAGTGATGGGTAACTAGTGCAGTGGCCCATAGCAACCAATCAGAAAATAGCCAGCACTTCTGCTGAACCTACACAATGCAGTGATGGGTAACTAGAGCAGTAGCCCATAGCAACCAATCAGAAAAAAAACATCCTGCACCTCTGCTTGAAAAAGTGGCAGGTAACTAGTGCAGCAACCAATCAGAAACCAGTCTGCTCCTCTGCTGGAAATACTGTATATAATGCAGTGACAGAGCTACTGCAGTAACCAATCAGAAAGCAGCTTGCACCTTCTCACTGCTCTATCCTTCTGAACGCTGGCTGTGATGATTGGATTTGATAGATGAATTGACCCTAGGCACTGCAGTATTAGAGCAGCTTCAAGTATACAGGGAGGTGCAGGCTGCCAACCAGACGTGCATTGCTTCCATACTGGATGTGTGGAGGGGACTCACCGAGGGTGGCAGCTTGGCAGGTCCAGCTCCAAAATTGAGGACTTGTGGGATGATGTCCATGTCTGCAGATGTAGTCTGAGTGCTGCCAATATCACAAATCTTCCCAATGCTTCTGCTGTAATTCCCAAGCACTACATCCCTGCCTAAATAATCAGCAGATGGGCCTCTTCTCATTGGAGGCTCTCACATGGTGATTTTCAGCGCCGCGCTTTGGTTGGCTGAACGCTGACAATGCGCCTTCCGATTGGCAGAGTGTCCACGAGCTCGGCGCGTGATCGTCAGGCAGAGATGCAAGGCTGGAAAGAGATTGCACCATCCAGCAACACCGCTCCATGTGGAGGGGGCGGGGCCGACATTTCCCATGAACACACGAGGACGGATGGATGGATATATGGCGGAGCTCAGCATTGTCTTCTCTGGCCGCATCCAGCCTATTGAGATCCTTTAGCGCCTTGTCTTATCCATGACATTTAATACATTCAAGGTGCAGTAAATTAAAAAATGTCTGCTCTGCAAAGTCCAGTCCCCTGTTCACACGTGTGTATTGGGAACATGCGTTCCTGAATGCATGAAAAAAGCACTACAAATGTGCATCACATACATATGATAAATAAGTGCAGCGCTAAATAATAGGAAGTATAATCGACTGTCCAAAATTACATCATTCCAATAGGATGCCCAGAATATGTAAAAAAAGGTGACAGTCTGCAGATAAATGGTGCGAAATTACAATAAAATCCAGTAGTGGTGCTCCAAATATAGTGTAAAATTACGTACTCACCAGATGCGTCATTTAAATATGCATTGAATGAATCAGTAGAGGTCTCTATGGATATGCCTCTGGTCTGGGGCAAGGATAAACCTCCCTCAAGGTGGGTGGTGTTGTCAGGAGTACTCAGGAAAGTATAGGATCCAGCTGGCCAGAGGTCCCTTTAAGAGATGGATGGGTGCCAGGGGCGGACTGACCATTTGGAAACCCGGGCACTGCCCGAGGGCCCAGGGTCAGTAGGGGGCCCCATGAGATGCCCCTGGTACCTTTTTCATAGGCTTTTTTGAGTTTGGGCAAGGACACAGGGGCCCCATGATCCCCTATTGCCCGGGGGCCCCATGAGTTGTTAGTCCACCCCTGATGGGTGCAGATGCCTGTGTACAGGAACTCCCGTCTCTGAAATCAGGTGGCTGGATCAAGCAGGATCTATAAGTAAATAGCTCCTCAAGGGAGATCATAAAGACTGCCCATAGTTCAGTAGTTTAAAATGTAATTTATTATATAAATGAATTTGCAAATTCCTCAATGTAAAAGCAGTAATAAAACAAGCAGCGTCAGGTAAAGAGTATAGACTAACCGTCCAGAAAGTAAATGGCTGCCGGGCCTCCACGTGGCTCCGGCGGCGTCTTGGCTCCTACTAACACGTTTTGTGCGCACGCACATCTTCAGATACCAATCAAACACTTGCCATGCCATTTAGGCTATGTTCACACCTATGCAGTTTGCGTTTGATATGTTTTTGCAGTGTGTTTTTGACACCTTTTGCATTTTTTTTCCAACTTGTTGCTGGGAAGATTAAAACACATCACAAATTCTCTACACGCACTTCCATTGTTTCCATTGAAGTCTACTGAACCAAAAAGGCAACATTCTGCATTTAGCCACTCCAGATGATTTACCCCCCCCCCCCCCCCTTCCTGACCAAGCCATTTTTTGCGTTACTGCGCTGCATTACTTTAAATGACAATTGCACGGTAATTGGAGCGGCAAATTTGGGAATACCAGGTAAACTCCGGACACGAACATGAGGAAAACAAACCTATTATTTACCAGCTGGGACTTAGCCAGACAGTGTCTGTAAAGCTAAGTGGCTTCAAAAGCCTCTTCCATGGTGTATATACCAACAATTACATCACAATGCATATTTTTCCTCTTTCCCTTTTTGTACATTCAAAAGACTTTCTAAGCTGTGCAAAATATAGCCATGAATATCAGCTACAGATAAGGATACCAGCTACAAGCTGGAACACATTACTTCACAAGAAAATAAGGAAGGGGGGAAGTGAGCTGGTGACCTTGCTTTTTCAAACACAGGCTGCTAGGAATATTAAAGTTTAAAGGGAAAATCTGCAAAATCTGGGTGCTGCCACAACACTGCATCCATATGAAATGTAGGTCCTTTTTTCCCCACAAATGGAGCTTTCTTTAGGTGGTATTTGATCACCTCTGCACTATAAACAAAAAAAGAGCGACAATTTTGAAAAAAATATATTTTTGACTTTTTGCTGTAAAACATCCAGTAACAAAAAATGTATAAATCAAATTTCGTCATAAATATAGGCCAAAATGTATTTTGCTACATGTAAATTATTTGGTTTACGTGAAAATTATAGCATCTACAAATGGCAGTACATATACTGGGATTTGTGGCGGCGATCAGCTACTTATAGCGGGATTGCGGCAGGCATTGTGACACGGGGAACTAACTGTCACTGACATCCCCAGTGACACCAGTACAGTGATCAGTGCTAATAAAAAGCACTGACACTACTAATGACACTGGGCAGGAATGGGTTAACATCTGGGGCGATCAAAGGGTTAACTGTGTGCTGTGTGTGTGTTTTACACTGTAAGCACATTGCTCTATATTGCTCTGCTATGCAGAGCAATACAAAGCAGTGTGCTGGAGCTGACAGTGGAGAGGTCTGTTATGTTTACATACAGACCTCTCCCCTGTCAGTGTTCCTCGATGATTGTCGGGTGTCGGCGGGGAATCTCCAACCAGGACTTGGTGATCAACAGCTATAGCCGCCAATGGCTCTGCTCACGATCACCGAGTCCTGTTCAAGAATCTGCGACCGAGATCTGGTGATTGACATGCCGAGGAGCCAATAGCGGCGAGGGTAGAGAGCACGCGCACCCCTACCCAGAGATACAAAATCACGTATATATATATATATATATATATATATATATATATATATATATATATATTATACAGGATTTATATAGCTCCATCAGTTTGCTCAGCGCTTTACAATGTAAAAGGAGACAATACAGCAACAATACAGTTGAATACAAGAGGGTTAGGAGGGCCCTGCTCCTTGGAGCTTACAATCTAGGAGGGAGGGGCTAGTGGTACAAAAGGTAGTAACTGTGGGGGATGGACTGGTTGGAAGAGTAGAAGATTCCATTATTAGCTGAGGGCAGGATAGGCTTCCCTGAAAAGATAGGTTTTCAGAGATCGCCTAAAAGTGAGCAGAGTAGGCGATAGTCTGATACATTGGGGTAGATAGTTCCAGAGGATGGGGGAAGCTCTGGAGAAGTCCTGGAGATGAGCATGGGAGGAGAAGGTCTTGCGAGGAGCGGAGAGTACGGTTTGGGTGATATTTAGAGACAAGATTGGTGATGTAATTTGGGGCAGAGTTATAAATGGCTTTATACGTTATTGTTAATGTTTTGAATTTTATTAGTTGGGCAATGGGAAGCCAGTGGAGGGATTGGCAGAGAGGGGTGGCAGATACAGAACGGTTAGTAAGGTGGATGAGTCTGGCAGCAGCATTCATGATAGACTGAAGAGGGGATAGCCTGCGATTAGGTAGGCCAATGAGGAGGGAGTTACAATAGTCGAGGCGAGATATAACAAGGGAGTGAATAAGTTGCTTAGTGGTTTCCAAGGTTAGGAACAGGCGTATCTTGGAGATGTTGCGGAGGTGAAGTCTACAAGATTTGGAAAATGATTGGATTTGGGGCTGAAAGGACAGATGGGAGTCTAGGGTTACACCTAGTACCCTGGCATGAGGGGAGGGACTGATAATTGTGTTATTGATCTTGATGGAGAAGTCAGGTGAGGGGGCACGGGCTGGAGGGAATACTAAGAGCTCAGTTTTGGAAAGATTGAGTTTGAGGAAGTGGAGTGACATCCATGCCAATATGTCACTTAGGTTAGTAATGCGAGAGGAGACTGAAGGGGTGAGGGGTAGAAAGATAGATTTGTGTGTCATCAGCATAGAGATGGGAGTTTATCAAGTGACCAAGGGAGGAGCTGTAGATGGAGAAGAGAAGGGGTCCAAGGATAGAACCTTGAAAGACCCCTACGGAAAGGGGGAGTGAAGAGGAGGAGGCAGCGTTATAGGTAACGCTGAAGGAGCGCTGCGATATGTAGGAGGAGAACCAGGAGAGAGCAGAGTCTCAGGCCAAGAGAGTGGAGTTTTTTTGAGGAGGAGGGGATGGTCAACCGTATCAAAAGCCGCAGAGAGGTCAAGAAGTAAGAGTATGGAGTAGTGGCCATTGGTTTTAGCAGTTAGTAGATCATTAGTGAGTTTTAGTAGGGCAGTATCGGTGGAGTGAGCGAAAGCCAGACTGTAAAGGGTCAAGAAGGTTGTTGTCAGTGAGGTAGGAGCTCAGGCAATTGTAGACTAAGCGCTCTAAGAGTTTAGAGGTAAATGGCAGCAGGGAGATGGGACTTAATTTGTTCAGGTTGGTGGGGTCCAGGGAGGGCTTTTTAAGTATGGGAGTGATGTGTGCGCATGCTTTAGAGGGGAGGGGAAGGCACCAGTAGAGAGGGAAAGATTGAAGATGTGAGTGAGGGAGCATAGGATTGAAGAAGAGGGTGACCGTAGTAGTTGTGAGGGGACAGGATCCAGGGGGCAAAATCATCAAGAAAGCGGGACACCGGTCCAGGAGGCAATCCTCAGAGAAATGGGAGAGAAAACAGCCAGATGCAGTGAGTCTCGTAAGAAGAGAAGAAGGATAGAGAGGGAGGGTTAGGGAGGACTTGAAAGGTGCTCAGTGGGGATAGGAGCAAACCAACTCCACCACCTTTCCGACCACTGGGTCTGGGTGAGTGGGTCCAGAGAAGGGCTCCATAGGAAAGTGCTGCGGGAGAAGCAGAATTTGGCTTGAAGCCAAATTTCTGTAATTGCTAGTAAGTTAAGGGAGCGGGAGACAAAAAGGTCATGGACAGAGGTGAGCTTATTACAGACAGAGCGGGCATTCCAGAACGCACATGAAAAAAGGAGGGTGGTTTTTGGGTGCACGGGGACCGATATTAAATTGAGGGGATTGTGGCTATTCCCGGAAGAAAGAGGATGCCTGGTGTGGGGGTGAGATACTGGAGGACCAGGGTTTGGGGAGATATCCCCAGAGGTTAGGAGATTAGGAGAAGAAGGGTGTCAGGGATCCC